TAACTAGATTTCCTTGAGTAAGGGTGGTAAATGGAAATTTATCATTTATGTGTTGCATTTCCCCTTATAACCAGGGTGCTTTGTGGCCATTTCTCCATATGCATTTTTGAAGCTCTGCTTCACAACCTTTAATGTGCATGCAGATTCTCTGGGGCTCTTGTTGAAGTACAGATTCTGATTCGGTGGGTCTGGGGTGTCCTTAGAGCTTACACTTCTGAAGTATTCCCCAGGGACACCAGTGCTGCTGGTCCATGGACCACGCTTTGAGTAGCAAGGCTGTAAGAGACATTCATCCTTGGAGTTCTCCTGTTTGGCTTAAAAATTGTGACCGCTCTGTTTCAATGTCTCCCTTGCCCCAAAAGAAAGTCTCATTAAGTCTGGGTTTGTGCTTTTTTTATGTTGGCTATTAACAGCCATGTCTTTCCCTTTTTCTAAATAGCAAAACACCGAATTGCTCATAAACCGCATTCCAAACCAAAAACTTCAGATATTTTTGAAGCAGATATTGCAAATGATGTGAAATCCAAGGATTTGCTTGCTGATAAAGAACTGTGGGCTCGACTTGAAGAACTAGAGAGACAAGAAGAATTGCTGGGTGAACTTGATAGGTACTTGATGACAGATTATCTTTCCAAGATAATTTGTTTCTGTATACATTTCCTCATTAATCTTTCTTCATTAATAAAATAGTATGTGTTCATTGAAGAAAATGCAGGGAAGCATAATATATTATCAATAATCCTTTCACCTCAAGATAAACATTAATTCTTTGGAATATTTTCTTACAGGATTGTGTGTTTGTGCATATTCCCATGCATGTGCATGTACTTTAATACTTAAGATAAACATCTTCATTTTTTTATTGTAGCCTATTTTGTATAATTATACCAGATAGTTGACTTTTAATAATCTTGGATTTAATGTATATAATGTTCAATTTTAAATGAAGTATTTTTATACTACACCCAGGATAGTGCTCTATCTTTGAATGTGTTGTGAAAAACAGAAATACCCTTTGAATTTAAGTTTGATACAGTAAAATGTTTATTCTTGCTTTCCTTTTATAAACTTTGGAGCAGGTAATTGGTAATCTGGTCAGATAGCTATATGTATGAGAAACTTTACCAAATTGCTCTTTGAAATACACATTAGCACATACTTAGAATTGTTAAAATGCTAAATGAAGTCTGCTGCTCGAGAAGTTCCTATATTATTTTGCTTAAATGATGTACCATATGCAATAATTAGTTTCTGTGAAAAATAGGGCAGGAAGCATACAAGTTTCTTTTTCCTACCATTTCACCTATAAATTCTTAGGTCTTTTTGATTAACTGATACTATTCATTTTTAAAAACCAGTTTTGAATCTTGTGATTTTTCTTGGTCATGATTCTCTATTTTTGTATGATGTTATTTCAGTTCTGTTGCATTTTCGATTTTGTTATTTTTGTAAGGTCCTCAAATCTTTTATAGAATCAAGTATGATAAGTGTTCACTCGTGTGTATAAATATAAGTATATTCATGTGCATATGTATAAATCCTTTATTTTTTAAAATTACAGTAATACATGCTCATTGTAAAATCTGAGTATAGGAGTAGAAAATAAGTGTGTATTATGGTTATGTGGTTTCAATTTCTGGCCTTTAAGTAGAGAGACATGTTCTCTGAATTTCTTACAACTTTGTTATTATTGGTACTATATTTATATTGCATATGGCCAATATCTTTCTTGCAAAGATAAAAAAATTATCTTCTATATTCTGCTTATGTCTGAATAACTGCAATATATAGAAGCAGCATAGGAACTAATGTTTTTTGTTAACTTCAAAACATTTTTTTGTTTTTGAACTTAGAATTCTAGTTTTAAAAATACTTTATTCAAGATCTTAGTATTTACCCATGGAAACTAACTGGAAATTTAAATAATGTAAAATTCTAGTATGTTTGTTTGATCTTGTTAATTTTCTTCTCCCTTACTAGTAAGCCTGATATTGTGATTGCAAATGGAGAAGATACGACATCTTCTGAAGAGGAAAAGGAAGATCATAACACAAATGTGAATGCAATGTATCAAGTAACAGACTCTCATACTCTGGACAGTTGTCATAAGGATGTTGCAAGTTCAGAACCATTCAGTGTTCAAATGAGTAGTCAGTTGAACTGTTCAGTGAATGGTTCCAGTTCTTACCACAGTGATGGTGATGATGATGATGACGATGAGGACGACGACAACATTGATGACCATGATGGTGATAATGACCATGAGGCTTTAGGGGTTGGAGATAATTCTATACCAACAATATATTTTTCTCATACTGTTGAGCCTAAGAGGGTTTGTATACTTTTAACTTTACTAATTTTGCATATAATTTGAACATTAAGCATTATGATATTCTTTAAAAGAGTAGTATTAACAGTCATCATCATTGTAGATAGTGCGAGACAGGAAAATCGTCTTTTGCCTCTTGTTCTGACCAATTTAAGAAGAAAAAGGGGAAAAAAAATTTAGTTAGCTGGTATTGGTCCATTGTTCTCTGAAACAATGCATTGTTTGGGGTCTGGAAGGGGATCAGATTTGAGTGGCAACTACTGTAACTTCACCTGTCCTTCATTCAGAGAGTTTTCTCAAGAATCCTGGAGTTAATTATATTGTGGATATTTTGGTGTGCTTAGCATGTTGAAAGTGACTGCATTAGTTAAATTTTTAATTATGCCAGGTTGTTTTCTATGGACATAAAATGAATACTTCATAAGCACAAAGGGAAAATGTAGGAGAAAGTAAAAATTAGTTTCTTTTCTGACAAAGTAAATATAAACATCTGTGGATAATCATGACTTTAGAATTTTGGCATTTTAGAGCTGGGGGTGACTGTGGAGATTTTCTAATACAGAGTTTTAAAGCTTTTCTCTAGTATGAAAAGCCTTTTGTTCCCTCCATACTTACTGTAGAATCCCAGTGTTTAAAATAGATCAAAGCAGGTTGGCTCCGATTGAAGGAAGGATTGGCTGCCTTAAGTCCATCTTTGCCCTCTCTCTGCTCCATGTACTGTTCTAAGGAGACACTGGGAATTCGTCTAATTCGTCTTTCTCAGGGAAATTTAAGGCCTAGTAGACATAGATCTGGTTGGTAATAAAACAGAAACTCTTTCGCCTCAGTGAGTGCCCTTTCTACACAATATTCCCAATTGCCTGTAACAGAGTTAAGGGTCTGTGGTATCAGTCTTAAGTGTGTGTGATTATTATTTAATGAAATATGTTTAAAACATATTTGATATTTCTTAGCTTCCTGAGTTATTCCTGCTCCAATAAGAAGTGAAATAATTGTATGTGTTTTTATATTCTAATATGTCAGACTGAAGGGGTCTTCCCCTGATTCTTCGGGAAAAGTTGACTGAGATGATTAGCCAGAAAAGGTCGCTTTGTGATTCTTTTGCCAGGCTTTTACTTTTTTCCTGTTTTCATTTAGATAGAAAGAACAAGTATTATTTGTAGGAATGTTATAGGGAATAGTGGGCATTACTGTGGAAAGTATGGTCTAAGTGCTGACTAGGGGAGGAAAAATAACATGTTAACCCCATGTGAACCCTGAACAGGGTTGGTTTTTATTTTTTTACTCCTTCAATTTCTAAAAGTTAGAGATGTTTTAAAAATTCTAAATAGGCACTATTTAATAGTACTTTTATGACTTAAAAATTACATTCTTACTGAATCTTTTTTTGTTGTTGCTTATACTCTTTCTTTTGAAATACATAATTCAAGCCAAAAACTTATATCAAAGGAATCGGGTGATATGAAGCTTATAAGAAATCTAGCATTTAGTTCAAATGTATTTTGCTTTCTCTACAATAATAAAGACACTGAAGACTAGGATTTGTTATTAAAGATTTACTTTAGAGGTCATAGATCTGTGAGGTAAGGACTTTTTTAAATTCCACCTGATAATGCACATCATTTCAGCATCAGAAAATTTCAGCTGCCTCTCTTACTATTATTTGTTTAGTTATAGAGTTTATTTGTTTTGGTTTCACTTTTAGTTAATTTGTCAAAAGGTTCTTAATTTCTTGCTCTGAAATTTTAGGTCCGAATAAATACTGGAAAGAATACCACTTTAAAATTCAGTGAAAAGAAAGAAGAAGCCAAACGTAAACGAAAGAACAGCACTGGCAGTGGCCACTCTGCCCAGGAGCTGCCGACCATCAGGACACCTGCTGACATTTATAGGTGGGAGGCGCTCACAGCTGCAGGGCCGTCTGCTGGCCTTGTCTCTCTTTCTGCCACTGAACCTTTACCAGAGAAAGTTGTTTGTAACACAGAAGACCCTCACTGAAATGTGAAGTGTTCTGAGGAGTTAGCTTAGAATCTGATAGGCTGAGTGGCTGTAGCTTCCCAGTCCAGAGCAGTGGGAATGGAGGAATTTTTTTTTTCACTTTCTCCTCTTCACCAGTGCTTTTGAAACATTTCCAAATGGTCTAGTCAGAAAATCTTGTATCTTCAGAAATGCATTTTTGTTTCCAGTGGGCTAGGTCCGTAGGTTTCTTGGCATGCAGTTTACCTTTTCAGAGTAGAAGTTATACTGTTGCAGTGTTTTTGTTTTTTTTTTTTTTTGGAATTGTTTGTTGAGAAAACTATCACTAGAAAATACGTACTGTTTTTATGACCCTTATTAAATAGTGAAAACTGCTAAATGTATACGTGGGTCTAAAACTTTATGTAGAGTTTTGGCAAACCATGCTATTGCCACCTAGGACATGCTTAAAAATAACATGCTGTGTTTTATTAGGCCAGATAAATCGTATCTTTCAAAATAGTATGAAAATGTCATTTGAGGCTATAAAATTGTGATTGTGACTATTTTAGATACAAGGTTTTAATAAAAATTTTCAGATTAATTTCTACAGATTTAAGGAAATTTTCAAAAGGTTATTCTCAGTTTTATGAATTACGTACAGTGAATGTATATGTGTTTTGAATATCACAGAGCCTTTGTTGATGTTGTGAATGGAGAATATGTCCCTCGCAAATCCATCCTGAAGTCTCGAAGTAGAGAGAATAGTGTGTGTAGTGACACCAGTGAAAGCAGTGCTGCTGAATTTGACGATAGGCGGGGAGTTTTGAGGAGTATCAGCTGCGAAGAAGCCACTTGCAGTGACACCAGTGAGAGCATTTTGGAAGAGGAACCACAAGAAAGTCATCAAAAGAAACTTTTGCCCTTATCAGTAACACCTGAGGTGTGTGTGTGTCTTTTAATTCTTTATTTCATATAGTATCTTTGGCCAATTTTAGCTATTTGATCTGAAAAGTCATAAGATTTAATTAATTCTAGGTTTCATACTTTCTTGATACTAATTAATAAAAAATTAACAGTCACAAGCAAACAGTACAAATATTGTGATACTCAAATAGTTTATTTTTTGATAAACACATTACTTGTCTTAATAGACACATTATTGTGTCTATTTCAGCAAAATGGGAAATTTAAAATATCTTACTTGGCATTATGTATTACATTTGTAGCTAGGAAATTATTTAGCAGTTTATTTTAAATAAATTACCAGTAGGTCATTTTCTGATAGTGTAAGGATCAGATTATACTATTCTCTTTTAAATACCTTGGCTAAGTTAAAGAAAAATAATGCATGCATAGCAGATAATTATCTAAAGTCTAATATTTTGCCCTGTACCAGTGAAACTTAACTCTTGGGGGATTATGGAATTGTTTTATAATCTGATGAAAGCTGTAGACCATGTCCTTAGAAAAAATAGTGCACACTCAATACACTTTCACCCACCACGCCTCTAACAGTTTTTGGTGGCGGTGCGGGGGAGGTTAGGAAATCCCCAAATAAGGATGTCTGTGAAATATAAGGCTATTAATTTCTTCATTCTTGTGTTTTGGTGAGTATTTGAAGTTTTCAATTTAAAAAGTAGGAAGATTAGGGAACCCATGCCTGGATCAAATCAATGTACACGTTTGTATATACAATAAGATGCATGCATATATATAAATCTTATATAAAAATTCCATTGCCTTTACTAAATGGTATTATACTCAGTGTATTAAATGGTAATTGGGGGTGGAGATTGGTAGCATTTAGGGACAGTACATATGACTAGAATGTTTTCTTCGCCTCTTCTCAGTATAATGATCTTAGGTGACCTGGAAAGTATCTTACCTTATTTAATTGTCTTTCATACTGTTAGAAAACAGGTAATGGATATAGACTTTTGCTGATAAATATTTGAATATTAGCTTTTTGTAAGGACTTAGTGTATCATGGTACAGCTAGAGTGTGGAACCTATTTTTTATTTCACCCTTACTAGTTTTGCATTTTGTATGGAAATGTTTAATAGTAGTTGCTATAAATTTTTTAACATCAAAGAAATAGTTCATGATTATGGTAAGTGCTTTGGAAGATACCCTTTTCAGTATCTTTTTAAATGCTAAAATATCTCTTTTTCAAAAGCATTTTAAATAGAAGAAGGAGAAGAAGGCTCTATGCTCATCGTGATAAAGTGGAGTTTTTAGGAAAGTAAGCTTTAAGCTGCTTTTACCAGCTGAACTCCAGAAATAATGTAGGAGAGAGATGGCTTTCTTTGTTTTTGTTTCAGTGGTGGGGCAAGGTAGAAGAAGGTGGCTTTTTAAATTATTCAGGTGATAATGTTGTTTTAACTAATTTTGAGCAGTTGGTAGACAGAGGAAAGCAAAGTGTACATTAAAGTTCACCTGTCAAATTTTGGTTTGTAGAGGGAAGGATGGAGGTTCTAAATATCAGAAATCTTTAAAAAAAAAAAAAAAAAAATTGGCCGGGCGTGGTGGCTGATGCCTGTAATCTCAGCACAGCACTGTGGGAGGCCGAGGCGGGCGGATCACGAGATCAGGAGATTGAGACCATCCTGGCTAACACAGTGAAACCCCATCTCTTCTAAAAAATACAAAGAAAAAAATTAGCCGGGCGTGGTGGCGGGCGCCTGTAGTGCCAGCTACTCCGGAGGCTGAGGCAGAAGAATGGCGTGAACCCAGGAGGCGGAACTTTCAGTGAGGCGAGATTGCACCACTGCACTCCAGCCTGGGTGACAGAGGGAGACTCTGTCTCAAAAAAAAAAAAAAAACAAACCTCCTTGGGTCTTACCTATTTTTGTATAAAACAACATGTACAGATATTTCCAGCAATTTATGCACATTGTTTAATTCTGTTCCAGTTGAACATACAGTTGGCCAGATTAAATGCAGCAAACATCCAGTTGAAATTGAGTAATTTTCTTTTTTTGTGGAACTTCTGATTTCTGTCAGAGTTAATTATCTTAAAATTTTGAAACCTGTGCTTATTCCTACTAGTGTCAGCACTTTTATTTTTCAACTTCCACTGATCTCTTAAAATTGAGGCAAAATGCAATAAAATATTTAAATAATTGCATAAACACCACCAAAGAGATTTCAGTTAGAAATGTCAGTACTGGGTGAAACTAAGCTATTGGCTAGCAGGTGCAAGGCCACCATAGGATAGCTCGTTCATCAACTGATGTACAGAAGTCAGAGTTTGACACCCTAATAGCATTTTTATTTTAATATGTTATTTTTCACAGCATGGGGTGGACATGAATGGAATGTATGAAAGTTTGAAGACCTTTTATTTATCCATTTCTGTTTTTTCCCAGATAAAATTTACATTTTACATTTTGTTTTCTTGCATGTATACTGTAAAAATTACTTCTATTTGGTGGTGAAATTAAAATTTAATGGTGTTATTTTCTCTGAACAATTGGTATTTTGATGTAGTAGTGTTGTCTAGCCACAAATCTTGTGAATTTACTTTTAATGAAAAGAAATGTCAAATTAGTGAATGGGAAGATTTTGTGGGTGTCTTACTTGCATTTTATTACCATAACCTGACTTTTGTTTTCTAGGCTTTTTCTGGAACTGTTATAGAAAAAGAATTTGTATCGCCTTCCTTAACACCACACCCAGCCATTGCTCATCCTGCACTACCCACTATTCCAGAACGAAAGGAAGTTCTGTTGGAAGCATCAGAAGAAACTGGAAAGAGGGTTTCAAAGTTTAAAGCTGCCAGATTGCAACAGAAAAACTAGGCCCTGTCTAGGAAATGAGAATTTACATCCTAAAACCTAGTTGTTTATTTGTTTAGAATATCTATAGCAAAATAGGTTACATGTAGTTTGAAATAAGGTATCCTGAGTTACTTTGGCAACAAGTTCTTTTACCCTTGGTATTTGAAAAAATCAAAGTAACTGTCTGAATACTTTAATATTCGGCTTGTTTTGTTAATTCTCTGAATACAACATTCTTGTCTAAGTTTGCCTTTATGATGCAGTGGCAGCATTTTGAATTACTTTTCAAAGAATACTGTTCATATGCATTGTTTTTGTGTTTCAAACTAAATACAGGCAGTTTTGTGCCAGCTGTGATATTGTGCATACCATATGGACCATTTTAAAGAAAATTTTAAAATTTCAAATAGATTCAACAATTATATTACTTGCTTTCACATTTTAAAGGCACTTTAAAAAAATCTACTTCTCTTGTAGGTTTTGCAGCTAGTTGGCTATTCAAGAAACCTCGCCCCTCTGAATGTCATACTGTAATCTTTAAGGAAGAAAGCTACATGAATTAATTGTACTCTATGGGAAAATTTCTTTGGAAAGATATTTTGTAAAACTTTTTTTTTCCAGTAAAAACTTTATGAAACTTGGTCTCAAAAATGTTGTGAACTTTATGATTCAAAATTGAGTACAGATATGTCCTTGATTCATATATGTGCTACATGTATCACACAACAGATCTGGAATTCTTTCAGTTCCTCAGACACTTCTCCCTTAGTTTTTGCAGTTTCACTGGGATTATGTTTTGGGAGACAAGGAAAGGTCTAGATGTTTAAACGTTTTAAATAAAAATTCCTTACAATTTCATCTTCCCAACATTTGCATTCTTTAAGGCTACTTTCCTACTAACTGAAATAACACATTTACTTTGAGCACAACTCCTCAAAGGTAAATTTTTTCTAACATTGCAAATAACACTACAAGTTAATCATTAGCTCGATGCATGCTAAAATGTAGCTTTTAAAAAGCATTCTGGGCCGGGCGCGGTGTCTCAAGCCTGTAATCCCAGCACTTTGGGAGGCCGAGACGGGCGGATCACGAGGTCAGGAGATCGAGACCATCCTGGCTAACACGGTGAAACCCCGTCTCTACTGAAAAAAAAAAAACTACAAAAAACTAGCCGGGCGAGGTGGCGAGCGTCTGTAGTCCCAGCTACCCGGGAGGCTGAGCCAGGAGAATGGCGTAAACCCGGGAGGCGGAGCTTGCAGTGAGCTCAGATCCGGCCACTGCACTCCAGCCTGGGTGACAGAGCCAGACTCCGTCTCAAAAAAATAAATAAATAAATAAATAAATAAGCATTCTGCGTTAGTACTAAAATAAGCCATCAATGCCAGTCCACCCTCTATTCATGGCTAAATATTTAAAGGTTATTTATAGCTTCTTTAATGAATTCTTCTTAAACAAAGTGAAATTATGTCCTAGAAAAGTAGAAGCTATTTGTAACTAGAACAGTGTAACTTTAAAGTTTTATGAATATGTATTTTAATGACAAGGGAGCAAACTTGAATCCCCACTAGTTAATGGATAATTCAAACCAACGACTGATTTTGAAAGATCACCTAAAAATGTAGATTTCTTCTTTAGTAAATTTAGATCAACTGTGCATATATTTTGTAATTAAAAAGTATTTCTTTCAGTTCATGCCCCAACCCCCACTAAAACCAAAGCAGAAATTACACACACAAAGGTGCTCCCGTTAGGAATTGCTATTCACGAGCCTTTCTGTGCTAGATTTTTTTTCCCAGAAATAAACTTTACTGTAGGACTATTGTGGTGTTCTTAACAGATTTGTAATTTCAAGACGCCTGTCATTAAATAATTTTTCATGTTCACAAACTTGATTTTGAGCCTATGTTACATCTTTGAGATAGGTTTTCCCTCATAGAACAAGACGGTAGGAGAAGAAGTGTTTGATAACACATTTTTGCATGTTCTGCTTTGGAGACCATGAAATAGTGTTGCCCCATTTCATAGCTTCAGTCTTCTAACAAAGTATTAAATTGTAATTTAAAATTATAACTTATTTATATTAAAGTTTGGGACAAAATGAAGTTGGTCTTACCTGTTCTGTTTTAAACCGTTATAAAACAGACCAAGAGATTCTCTCTTAAACTTTCTATTTTGAAATATAATAACTTCAGTCCTTCAGAACAATTGCACAAAATAGTACCAAGAGTTCCCATATACCCTCATTTCATTCAGCCTCCCTCAGTATTACAACATAGAACCATAATATAATTATCCAAATCAGGAAATTTATGTTGGTGTAATGGGATTACCTAAACTACAGGTCTTACTTGAATTTCACCAACTTTTCCACCAAATTTTCCATTAGAAAAAGAACGAGTGTTCTTCTGTTCCCCAGATCTTGTCTATGACTCCATCTTGTGTTTATTTGTTACTTACTGCTCCTTAGTCTTTCCTCCAGTCTCAGACAGTTCCTCAGTTTGTCTTTCATAACTTTGATATTTTTGAAGAGTACTGGTGGGATATTTTGAGGATGTTCCTTAGTTTGGATTTGTTTGATGTACTCAGATGCCTTGAGGTTTTGCAATTTTGAAAAGAATACCACAGAAAATGCATCATATCAAGAGGTACATTCTAGTGTGTCATTTCGAGTTCCTTATTTTGGTGTGTCAGTCTTAATCACTTGGTTAAGGTGATTGCCAGGTATCTCCACTGTAAAATTACCGCTCCCTTTGTAGTTCGTATCTTGGGAGCGATACATGAGCGATGCATGAGACATGCAAATTCTTTTCTCCTCCAGCTTATGCTAAGTTTTGCATTTATTGGTGGACCTTGTCTGTAACAGTTATCACTGTGGTGTTTGCCTAAAGGTGATTTTCTGTTTTGCCCTTTTCTTCCACATTTATTTCTTGAAATTCTTTTATAACAAGTTTTGTCTCCATACCTCTCTCTCCCAGCTTATTTGATTATATGTGTGGACACCTGGATATTTGATTATATGGGTTAAAATTCATTACTTACTACCATTGTTTGGTTGCTCAAATTCTTCTGCATTTGCCCATTAGGAACTCCTTTGAGTTAACTCCTGAGTTCTTTCAACAAGTTCCCATCTTTTTTTGAACACTTTCTTACTGGCACCACAAAATACTACAGGACCATCTATTTTTCCAGTCCCAGCCCTGGAAACAACCACTTCAAGGAACCCTGGTTCCTTTAATTGGAACATGGTGTTTAGAAACCAACATCTGTTCAGTTAAGTATACTAATTGCCAGTGGGGTCTCATTGCCTCTTGGGCCTTTTCAGCAGATAGAGCTAGGAAATACATGTATATGTATTAATGAATATATATTTATGTATCTGTTTATTAAAAACCGTGAGTTTGCACTGATACTTCTGATTCTAATCTAATACAGCATTAATTTCTGTTTTTCCTGATTTGTTACTTTGTTTTTAACATGGGTAACCTGCCTCTTGTCTGCAGTATATTTACTTACTGGTTTTTTTTTTTTTTTTTTTTTTTTTTCTTCACTGTAATATACATGTAGTTTCAGAAGAGCTAATTCATACCCTAGGAGAAACACATTAACTACATTGCACTGTTATGCAATTCTTTTTGGGTTTTGCCTCATATATCAGTAAAGAAACAGTTTTTCAAAGAAGTTCCTTAGTTCCTTTTCTTTCCCACCCTCTCTGATCTGTGGACTGATTTGTACTCTTGGTCCATTTTTTACTGTTTGAGGGTTCTCTCCACATCTTGGTTGATTTTAATGATTTATTTTTTTCAGTATGTGAAAAATATGTGAAACACTCAGGTGGTTCTCAGAGTCTGAGCTTTGTAAAAGGATATACATGGAGAAGTGTTGTTCGTACCTCTTTCCTCCCACCCCATTCCCATTCCCAGCTGCTTTCTATCACTTTCCCGCCTGCCCATAGTAAACTCTAGTTTCTTGTTTAACCTTTCTATGTCTCTTGCACAAATCCCCACCTACGTACTATAAAGAACCAATATTTTTAGTTACTGGTTTAACTCTTCTATATTCTATACTCACAGCAAATGTGTATTTTCTTTTTCCCTTTTTTTTTTTTTTTTTTTTTTTTTTTTGAGACTGTGACTGTTACCCAGACTCAAGTGCAGTGGTGCAGTCTCGGCTTACTGCGATCTCGGCCTCCTGCGTTCAAGCGATTCTCATGCCTCAGTCTCTTGAGCAGCTGGGACTACAGGCGCGTGCCACCATGCCCAGCTGTTTTTTTCTTTTTGTTTTTTCCTATGTTTTGGTAGAGACAGGGTTTTGCCATGTTGACCAGATTGGTCTAGAACTGACTGCAAGTGATCTACCTGCCTCGGCCTCCCAAAGTGCTGGGATTACAGGTGTGAGCCACTGTGCTCGGCCATTTTTTTTTTTTTTTTTTTTT